TGAGAAAACCCTGAGCCACATATACTACATTTGAAAGGTTTTTCCCCCGTATGCATTCGTCGGTGTGCCTGTAAAGAGCTACACAAGGTAAAACCCAGGCCACAGTCTTCACATTTGTACGGTTTCTCTCCCGTATGTTTCATTGTATGTGCCTTCAGCTGTGCACTCTGGGAAAAGCCCATATTGCAGACATCACATGTATACGGTCTTTCACCTGTGTGTACTCTGGTATGTCTTTGAAGTGTACCTTTTAAACCAAACCGAGCACCACATACCTCACAACTGTATGGTCTTTCTCCCGTATGTTTTCTTTTATGCGACTTCAGCTGACTTCCCTGACAGAACCCTAAACTGCAAACATCACACTTATATGGTCGCTCTCCCGTATGCAGTCTCTTGTGAATATTTAGATTGTAATTCATGGTAAACCCGACACCGCAGATATCACATTTATAAGGTTTCACACCCGTATGTTTAAATACGTGTGACTTCAACTGTTTGCTCGTTGCTAACTCAACCCCACAAATATTACACATGTAATGTTTCCCACCTGCGTGCAGTCTCTGGTGTGTCGTTAAATGAAACTCCGTAGGAAATCTGCCATCGCAAACATCACACTTAAAAGGTTTCTCTCCTGTATGCATCAATTTATGCTTTTTAAAGTTTTCAAGTCTGGCAAATTTTATGTTACAAACATCACATGTATAACGTTTCTCTATCGCATGTTTCTGTTTGTGTCTTTTCAACTGACCCGGTCGGTTGAACTCCAGACTACAAACATTACATTTATATATTTTCTCTCCAGTGTTTTTTCCGCGTGTTTTAAATTTACAGCTTCGCGAGAACCCAGCGCTGCAAAATTCACATGAGCAGGGCTCCGCACCTGTATGTTTTACTTTATGCCTTTTCAGATGGCCACTTTGATAAAATTCCATCCCACAAGCATCACATTTGTAAGGTTTCTCACCTGTATGTTTCCTTTTATGAATCCTCAGGTAACTACTGCAAGAAAAGCCTAGATTGCATACATCACATTTGTAAGGCTTTTCTCCTGTGTGTTTTCTTTTGTGTACAATCAAATAGCGATTCTGTGAAAGTGACACGCCACAAATATCACACTTGTAAGGTTTCTCTCCTGTATGCTTTAACATATGTGTTTTTAAATCAAAATTTTCAGAAAATCCCACTCCACATTTTTCGCATTTAAAAGGTTTCTCTGGTTCATGTTTTATTTTGTGTTTCTTCAAGTACCTGGCCTGTGTGAAATCCTGACCACAAACTTCACACTTGAAAGGCTTTTCCCCTGTGTGGCTTCGTATGTGAGTTCTCAGGGTAGCATTCTGAGAGAAGCCCACACCGCAGATATCACATTTGTAAGCCTTCTCTCCTGTATGTTTCATCTGATGCGACTTCAGGACACTGCTCTGAGAGAAAGCCAGACCACAGTCATCACACTTGAAAGGTCTCTCTCCTGTATGTTTTATAATGTGTCTCTTGAGATGGCCACTCTGAGAAAACTCCAAACCACACTCATCACATCTGTACGGCTTCTCTCCTGTATGTTTCATTTTATGAATCTTCAGATTCCCCTTCTGTGTAAACCTCACTCCACAAATATCACACCAGAATGGTTTTACTCCCGTATGCCGCAGGGCATGTGCCTTCAGGTGGTAAGTCTGCGAAAATTCAGCTCCGCAAATATCACACTTAAAAGGCTTCTCCCCTGTATGTGTCCTTTTGTGTCTTTTGAGGTGGGCGCTCTGAGAAAACCCTACTCCACAATCATCACATTTGTGAGGTTTCTCTCCTGTGTACCTTATTTTATACAGCTCATGGTTGTAAAATATATCAGCATCATCTTCTATTTTTACTGCGGCAGCTGAAAAACACTCAAGGTCTTTTTCGCCCATTTTATTGAAGACATCTCCTCCAACGTTGGGCAAACTTTTTGAGAAAGCATCGTGCTGTATGAGCTGGTTGTCTCCAGATTCATTGACGTTTTCTGCTGCAGACACAGTATTTTGTGCAAAGTTACCAAGTCTCTTTTTAGCAGACAGACGGCCTGAAAAAGAAAGGAATGAAAACACTTATTTTACTTTATCGGGTTAAAATATTAATAAATTCTACTTTGTAGTAGAAACCAGGGAGACAATAAGTACAATGTAATAATGCATTAGTTTCTTTTTCTCAACAGTGCCCTGAATGTGGGTGGAACAGCCATGGTGTTATGGCTTGATGCATGCCTCAGGCCCGAAGGTTGTGGGTTCAATTCCTCATCAAGCCAGAATTGTTTTTCTTTTAAAAATGACCTTGGCTCCCAGGTTGAACCAGCTTAAAATGGGTATCAGGTGAAGTCCTTGGAAGTAAAGGTGACTGGTGTGGTGCTGACCACATCACCCACCAAGTACCGACTGGTCTACAGAATATAAGTCTAGCCCTATATGCCTAATGGCGTAGAAAAGGGTCCTTTACCTTTACCTTTGTATGTGGGTCTGCAAGTTACCTTTTAACTGTATGTGGGTCTGCATGTTCAAATACCTTGCAAGATTTTCTAGCATGCATAGCACAAATTTAAAATGCACATTAACACATTATGCTTTGTCTGATACATGAGGACAAAGGCTGATTCCTTCCCCTCCACGAAAACCTCCGGGCACCCCCCCCCCCCCCACCTTCTCTCTCGAAACTTCCTGGCATCTCATACTGACATTGTATGTCATACTTACTGACATGGCATGTCATACTTACTGACATGGCATGTCATATTTACTTATATGGCATGTCATTCTTACTGACATGGCATGTCATATTTACTTATATGGCATGTCATACTTACTGATATGGCATGTCCTACTTACTGACATGAGATATCATAATAACTGACATGGCATGTCATACTTACTGACATGAGATATCATAATAACTGACAGGGCATGTCATATTTACTGACATGGCATGTCATATTTACTGACATGGCATGTCATACTAACTGACATGGCATGTCACACTTGCTGATATGGTATGTTACACTTCTTCTGCCTTTCTAAGCCCCAACTGAGCATAGCCCCTCAACCAAATGCCAAGAAGTTCTTTCCTTCACTATCGCAACACGCAGCTCCCCCCATCATTTAAACTTTGTTCACCAGGTCCCTGCTCCATGTTTTTTTTGGGGGTCTTCCTTTATTTCTATGCCCCTGTGGGTTCCAGTACAAAGACATTCTAGTTATACTGTTCTCAGATTTTCTCAATGTGTGTCCTATCCTATGCCAGCATCTTTTCTTCACCTTTTAGTCACCTGGAACTTGCTTAGTTCTCTCCTAAAGCTCTACATTAGTGATTCTATCATAACATTTAATTTCCTCTATTCTGTGCAGGCACCAATTAATGAATGTTTGAAAGTTTATTATTAATTGCCTTAGTTATTTTCCATGTTTCCGCTCCATACAAAAGTACTGATTCCCTAGTGCTATGAAAGCTTCTCTTGCTTTTTGTATTCATATTTTAATATCTCTAGCAGTGCCCCTGTCTTTATCTACCCTAGTGCCCATATATATATATATATATATACACACACACATACACACACAAAACTCCACGCCTTGGAGTGGGATACCATGAAGAGAAACCACATTACTATTTGCTTGATTTATTCTCATTATTTTTGTATTTCCTTTATGGATTTCCAACCTAGCTGATGTGATCTCGCATCAAGTATATTTATTTTATCTTGCATCTGATTCCGTGAGTCAGAAGAGAAATATCATCAGCGAAGTCCAGATCATCAAGCTGTTTTGTAGGGGTCCACTGACTTCCATTTTTGGTGTAAGCAGTTGCTGTCTTCATAATCCAATCTATTGCCAGTAAAAATAGGAGAGGTGGCAAAAGACATACCTGTCACTCGCATGTTTTTATTTCAAATGTATCTGTTAGCTTTCCTCATGAAGAACTCAACATTTCATGTCTTTATATGTTGCCTTTACTAAGTTAATAATTTTCTGTGGAATTCAATAGATTCTCCATTAATTTCCAGAGAGATTCCCTATCAATGCTGTAAAAGCTTTTTCATAGGCTATGAATCCAATGTAAAGTGGTCAACTCAAATTTAACGCTTTGCTCGATTATTATGCGTAATGTGGCTATCTGGTCAGTACAGGATCTGTTGCACTGAAAACCTGCCTGTTTATCTCTTAGCATTTAATTCAATAGCATCTTTTAGTCTTTCATCTCATATTTACTGATATGGCACGTCATACTTACTGACATTGTATGTCATACTTACTGACATGGCATGTCTTACTGACATGGCATGTCTTACTAAATGACAAGGCATGTCATAAAAGGTTAAAGGTAAAGTCGGGAGATGTGAACCAGCGTCATTGCACACGGTTATAAACCATAAGTGCTCTGCCCCTAGTATGGACAGCTGATAAGAAACTGTCTGCCTGTGTCGCCATCAGCGCACAATTCCATAGCTACAGAGACGTTCCTCCATTTACCCCAGACGTTCCTCCATTTACCCCAAAGTGTTAACACTGGTACCCATTTCCCAGAGGCTGAGTGAACCCCGGGAACCGTCTAGTTTCGAACACTGGCCGTGGGCTGCAGCGAGTCGCAGCTGGATTTGAAAGCAAGTCTCCTATTGACTGCGCTAATGCGGCCCCGTTATACTTACTGATAGCAAATACCATATTGAAATGACCTGATTTATAAAAACACAGTTAAAAACATTAAAATATTTGTACTTATTCCACAATATGCCAACATGGGTTCCAGGACCCACTAGGGGGAGGGTGGGGGAAGTGAACAGACCCATTGCACCCCTAATAAGCATGTCATAAAAGTGGACAATTAAAAAATCGAATGTGTTGGGCCAAAAAGCGCTGACATCACAGCCTAGCTGTAAACCACAACAGAACATACTTTTTGTTCTTTTAAAGGCAGATGAAAAATAAGTTTCACAAAATGGTACCAGTAAACGTAACTCAAGTATGCAAGCTTACCTTCACTTTCCCTAACATTTGCCGGTAATGTTTGCCCACGTGGCAACCTCTTATCTAAGTGCTGAAGTTTTCGTATACTGGTGCTGCAATCTTTTGATGATCTATGTGCATAAGATGTCTGAAGTATACAACAACAATACTGAAACATTTCGAACCAATTTATGTCCGCAAATAATGTGTGCAAAAACACTAAAACCATTAATTAAAGAGCATACTGCTTGCATTAAAATAAAAAGGACTGCAAGAATATTTAAGCAAAAATGCATTCATGAAAAAACTCAAAAGTAGCTATATATTCTATGCCAGCATAACTGTTTCATGATAATCTAGTTATTTTTTTATGTGATGAACAGTAGCAAACTTCAGCAGAAAATCCTGATTATTCACCTGTTCCCGGACTTCAGTGTTGCGTGCACATTTGTTTTACAGATATAGCTTATTTGTGTGCCGACTGTTTGTTTCTTGTTTCTCATGTGCTCTGACTGAGTTGTGTTTATTCAAAAACCGACATCATAGCACTTGAGGCATTCCCATAAGCGCTTCGTCCCCCATTCTTTCAGCAGCCAGTGAAGTTCAGATACTAATGGTACTAGTAGCATTCTGATTAAATGTTCGTCTTGCCTTTCCTCTGAGCCTCGAGCATCTGCCAGAACCTCTCGTCACCCCCAACTGCATCAATCTCACCAGTGTGGTGATCCATCTGCTCCTCCGAACTGTACACGCTCTCCCACAAGGCACTAACCACGCGTGCCTTATCATGTATCAGTATTCCACCAAGTTGCGCAGAGCCAGCCAGTCTGTCCTCCTGTTGCTCCGACTGAAGGAAATATCTACCTTATCTAGCTGTTAGTCGAGGTTCCAACATCAATGCAGATAGGTTACACTATAACTGCCTCTTCCTGTGGCAGTGGAAAACAAATAAAATGTCCTTCACTGCCCAATTTAAAAACTAGTTATAAACCTGTCAGTCCAGGCCTAATCTTGAAGTTTGCATGTGAAAAGTCAAAATGCATAAGGCAGCTGTCAGATTTGCCAACACCAATGGTTCCACCCCAGGGAACTACTGACGCCAAAGATCAGTCACTACAGAAAGCATATCTATGTGGCTTGGCCAGCAGGAGGTAACCTGTTCCTATGATAATCAGGGAAGAGGTGTAGATATGTCAGCTTGGCCTTGGTGCATTATTGCAAGTGGAGGTGCAAAGGACACAATTGCTGGAAGAATCAGACACATGGAAAACATACACAACTGCTAACAAAGAACAAATATTCAGCTGTATACAAACAAAAGAAGGAGTAAAATGCTAGGACCTGATCAGCACAACAGAGCTCATGGAGAAAACCAGATAAATGCTAGTGTGACAGAAGACAATGAGGAAACGCTAACACAGAATTAGATATGAACTGAGAACATTAAATAATAACAAATGAAGGACAAGCTGGCTGAGCGGTTAAGAACGCTGGACTCCCATTTGGGAAACTCAGGTTCCAATCTTCAGTAATGAGCAAGCAAAAATAAAATCTGAACCTACAAAGCCTGGGGCGACTGCACTAGCACATGACCCTAAATTCTCAGGCTCAAGATCACCCATCCTACACTGCCTAAACAGGCTGTAGAGACAGCAAAGTCAAGACAGCTAAAGAAAAATCAGCTAAACATTCTTTCTTCTTGAAGGCAAACTTAAATATAGAGAGACTCAATAACAAAAACTCCCCGTGTGGGTTTCAGCGTCCTACTGAGGGGAACACAAGAACAAACCCACTGACTCCCCAACAAGCATGTCATAAGAGTTGACTAACTGGAGGCTTACTTCAAAGTCAGAGTGCATCAGTGTGAGAGGCAAGGAAACACCAATATGCATACAAATAAGTCAGATCTGATAAACAGAGGTGCATGCAACACTCAGGTTCTGGAACAAGACTAAAGTCCAGAGGTGGTCAAAAAGCCACAACTTTCTGTTGGAGTTTACAGAAGAAGAAGAAGATAACAAAAACAGAGAAGGTAATCAGAGACAGAGAAGATCTACAGAAAAAAATATGAAAGACATTACAAAATAAAGTGAAGGATAGGCAAGAGATGACAGTCTTTGCTCCTCACTGAGATAAAGATATGTCTTACCTCTGCATTATCAACACAGCTATGGGACCTATGTACTGGACTGTTTCCATCATACTGTGATTTGTTTTGTGAACCATCTGAAGTGGGAGAAAATTAAAAAAAATAAGTCACAACATTTTACCACTTGTTTCTTTCCCCCCCCCCTTTTCCACCCTTAATAAGCATGGCCTAAGAGGCGACTAGTGAGAGGTGTTTCTTTCAAAGTAAGTGTGCATCTATCATGGAGGCGAGGACTTAACAGTCTGCATACAAGATCTGTAAAATGGATGTGTATGCAAGTTCTGCCACAAGCCTAAAGTGCAGAAGTTGACAAATACTCAGAATATTCTTCCAGAATTGACAGCTGGTGAAGGCTAGGAAAAATTAAAAGATAAACTCCCACTAAAACAGCTCTGGAGTCTAAATGTCCACTAGTAAAAGTGAAGCACTCACTTGTCCAGATAGCTGGCGATTACAGTCAACGCTAACGATAACACACATGGTCCCGAATATGGAACTGAAGGGGAAAACCACCGCATAACTCCATGCTTCAAAACTATCTGAAACATTATTACAAAGAACATATTTGACAGATTTTTCTGTTTTCTATGCAACAGAATTGTCACACAGTTTCTGATATTTCTTAAAGTCCTTTCCTTGTGGCGTTGATAGTCCACAACCTTCTGTCTCATGGAATTTCAATAAAAAGACACAGACGATCTTCCATGACATGATGTCAGACTGTTCAGCATCTTCTCTCTCTGTCTCCCTCTGCCTCTTTTCCCTCCAACATTCCCACCGTCACAATGCTGTCTAGTTTTCTCCTTCTCAAGATGTGAATAAAGAATGCAAATTGTCTCCTTCTGATGTGGGTAATCAGTTCTCTTCATTAGCGGTTTTTTTCAGGACACCTTTATTATTCTTTTTTAACTGTCCAGGTTATTCGCATCATTTGCTTATAAAACTATGGAGTTTCATGCGGACAGCGACACTGGCGGACAGTTTTTTATCGGCTGTCCGTACTAGTGGCAAAGCACTTATGGTTTATAAACCGTGTGCAATGACGCTTGTTCACATCTCCCGACTTTACCTTTTTTGCTCATAAAACTACACCTCCACGGCTTCCAAATATTTTTTCGTTAATCCTATAGTTTCTGTTGGCAGCTCTAAATATGACTGATATGTAACTGATACTAAAGAAGTAAAGGATTCCCTTGCCCATGCCTTCATGTGTATTTGGCATACTGTGCTACACCTATATAGACCAATCGACACTCGGTGCATGATGTGGTCAACATCGTACCGGCCACTCTTACTTCCCAGGACTTCACCTGGTATCCACTGAAGGCTGGGTCAAACAAGGAGCCAAGGTCATTTGAAATAAAAATAAAAATCTGGTTCCATTAGGGCTTGAACCCACAACCTTCTGATCTGCAGGCGAGCGTCTCGTGCTACATCATGGCGGCTTACAAATGATACTAAATGAAAACATAATGTAGGGGGAACTTACAGCAGTGCAAGTTCTGAACAGCCACCACAGAGGACATGTCGCTGGTCATCCTCATCACCACTGGGTAATGTGGGCTTTGATTATAGTCATCCTCCTCATTGCTTGCTTTTTTCCACCGCTGTCTTTCTCTGCTGACCTGAAAGATCAAATAAGCTGCATGTAAAACTTCCGCAAGCTCAATACTCATCTTCTGCAGTAGGGTACAGAGGTTAAAGAAAGCACAAATGAACAAACTAACTTTTTTTTTCAAAGGGTCAGGAACTGGGCAGGCAGGCTTAACCGACACTCTGTCCTTTTAGTTTCCCTCCTTTCACACATCATTTTATTCATATATCTAGTAACAGTAAACATTATCAACAGCATCAACATACTCAATATAAGCACTGGTATGTGCACATTTGTAACCACAGTAAACCGTAGTAATTGTAGTAAATCTAGAAAAAAATTGAGCTATTTCTAAAATAAAACAGAGGTACCCAGATGCTTTGAAGCAGGGCTATTCAACTGGCGCCCCCTTCTCCCCTTGAGCCAAATCTGGCCTGCGAAAGCTTAGCTATTGGCCCTTTGCGGCTTAGCAATTGGCCTGCGGAGGCTTAGCAATTGGCTTGTCGAGGCTTAGCAAGCGTTCCACGGATCATTGCCAGTTTAATTGTATTAATGATCTTTCTATGCTGGAGCTCAGGCCTCTGGTCAGTGATGATCCCCATTTTTAACAGTTTGGTCCCTGAGCAAACTTAGTTAAATAGGCCTGGTTTAAAGTAATTCTTATAAAGGGCCCTATTTTGGGTGACTAAAAAAACAGATCTACTACTGCCTCCCTAACAAGCATGCTGTAAAATTCAACTAATCAGGGATATTTCCTTCAAGGTCAGAGTGCATCTGCCTGAGAGGGTGGGAACCAACAGTCTGCATATAAATCAATCAGATATGTAAAACAGGTATGCAAACAAAACTCAAGTTCTGGGCCAAGACCAAAGTCCACAAGTAAACGAACAACCAGAATCTTTCACCCGAGTTTACAGCCGGTGAATATAAAGAAGATATCATCATATGTCCAGCTGATAATCATAGCAGTCATGTTTTGCTACCTCAGACAATCATCAGAATCACAGATCAAGTCAGTGCTCTTGCCTCAACCCTTTCCTTATGACTGAGCCATCTTGGTATTTATCTCTTCACCTTGTCTATTCCTTTTTCAAGCATAGGCAGTCATGTTTCCTGCACCTCACAGGATATTACAATCACAGATCAAGTCAGTGCACTGGCCTCACCCAATCTTTATGACGGAGCCATCTAGGTATTTATCCCTTTGTTTTCTCCCTGCCTCTTTTCCATCAACAATGCCAGTTGTTACACCAAGTTCTCAATATCAGAACAACATCAGTGTGCCCCTATTTCCAAAATAAAGTATCCTACATCCTTATCTTTTTCTGAAGCATCACTTCAGAGGTCCTGGGCAGTTTGCATCATTTGGATATTTTCTCCCGGTTAAGACAATGTGTTAAATGAACAGGCCAGATAGACTGGCTAGATGCTGTAAGAGTCCTTTGGGAGCAAATGAACAGTAAGTAAAAAAAAAGTAAAGAAATTTTTCCATGCCTTTAGGCGTATAGGGCATATAGGGCTAGACCTATATTTTATAGACCAACGGCACAAGATGGGTGATGTGGTCAGCATCACGCCGGCCGCCTCTACTTCTGAGCATTGCACCCAGTACCCACTCAAGGCTGGGTCAACCTGGGAGCCAAAGTCATTTTTGAAGAAAAGTCCGGCTCCGCCAGGGAGTGAACCCATGACCTTCAAATAAACAGTGCAGAGGCAGAAATAGATCATCGTGGTCTGAGAAGAATGCTGCTGCAAGGAGTGACCAGGGGAGCTGGTCAAGCACAACATTCAAAGGAAGGGCGAGACAGACATACAATTAGACTGTTACTGGTGCCATGGAAATTGGAAATCTGTGTTTGCTGTTGAAGATGGGGAGGGAGCGACTATGGGAATGTCCCAAGTGCTTTGATGTTTTCTTGAATCAACATCCTCTCTCTTTTTCCCTCTTTGTCTCTTTTTCCTCCAAACTTTCCTGCTGCCCCTTTCAAGCTATTACCTCATAATTCAGATCCTGCTGTGGCAGTGGTACATCTTGAATACTAGCCTCACTGATCATGTCAATCTGAAAACAAACACATGTTGGCGTCAATCATTCAATGCTATACTATAAAACTATATCATTTGTATATAAATCATCTAACTAGAAACCTCAATCAACTAGACTTGTGCATGAAGACAGGCCATGATCTCCTTATTTGTTTTTCAAATTATTAAATTTTTAAAAATTTTTATTTACAGCATCCATACCATGGATGAATAGTATGTGCCAGGGAAGTTTTGTTTTTCTGAACTAAGTAATACAAACTGCCCACGCAGTCGCTATAAACTTTTTTAAGCCATTAAGTGGGTGTGACAGATTTATCCATCACTGCATCACTAATGTCAGATATACCTGTCCTCATCTTTCTACAAACGGAACCTAGTGGATATGATGAGGTATATGTGAGCCACTTGCATTGATCTTCTTCTTCAGCATTCCGAGCCCTTGAGGTTCATTGCTGCAGATATCACCCGCCTCCACATTCATCTCTCTGGTTGGCCTTCTCTTTCCAGTTGGTGACACCAAGTGTTTGCAGGTCTGACTGGACATTATCTCTTTATTGTCTTTTCGGTTTGCCTTGTGGTCTACGACCATTCATCACCCTCGTGTATACAGTTTTTACTTCTCTATCATCCAACATTCTTTCAGTAGGTCCCAACCATTTCAGTCTATTAGCTCTCATGATGCCAGTGATCAGTGGTAATTTAAACAGACTATGCATTTCGTTGTTGCCTCTCACTTTCCATTGATATGTTCATTAATTGTCTCCACTTGGCAGAAGCACTCCTTAAAGGCTATCTAGTGTTTTAGTCTTTGGTTTGCATGCTGCAATGCTCGGTTTGCATGCTACAAGCAGTGTGTCATAACAAGGGACCTGATTTGCCCACTCCTGCATTAGGCTGCCATCAATTGAAACATAATTTTTTTTAAAAATCATTTTTTGTCATAACTGTTCGGATTTGCCCAAAGCAGCAAACGATGCTATCAATCTAACATTTGCAGTTTGCCAGACATGAGACCATAAACAAAATAAAGACTATGATGACATTTTTTCATCTGTGAATTTGGTATGATCCCAAACAGAAATAGTACTTTTCCCAGTGTGAATCAATTAACTGGTACTTCCATCTTTGAAAAAGTAATGAATTAAAGAAAATACTGAATTTCCACAAATGAATGCATGAAAAAAAAAATTCACCCTTTATTGAAATTTATAAAATTATTTACAATAAAGTATGACTTTGGCACAGTCAGGGGATGGGCAGTAATATTATTTTTTAATCTGTGAGTCTTACCAAGTATAAACACACAACCCTCAATATATCTTTCTATTTCTTTCTATGAGTGCCGATCAATACACTTTCTGTTACTGGATTAATTCAATATGTATAGAAGACATGCTGGCCCCTTGCAAATCTACTCCAATTTAAAATCGTATCTTCTTCTTCTTTGCGTTCTGTTTCGTATGCTCAGATCAAACCATCAGGTGGGTTGCCTCTAAGAACTCACATGTTTTAAAATCATATGAATCCCCAGTTAAAGTCCTGAAGAAAACATTACCAAAACTGGCCTAAATCCCAGCCAATCTGTGTGGACTGTTATACATCATAATGTGGTCATATCTTAACTTGCCTCTCTACAAATGTAGAGTTCTAGTACCTGTCTTGCACACTCCACTGGTGTCTGAGCTTGGAGAGAAAAAGGAGAGCTCTGCAACAATCCTTAGGAGGTGGTACCCTGGTACAGGATGAGGAGAAAAGTCTGTACATTAACCTTACTGAAATAGACAAAACTCTCTCTCTCTATCTCTCTGTGAGCGTGCGTGCGTGTACACATGTGTGATATACTAATCTGGCATAAATATCAATGTTTCATATAAGAAGTGAAACTCAGTCTCCTAGAGGATTTACCAACGACACCAAGAAACAGAAATACAAGATGGTGGAGTAAGCGAAAGTCAGTTAACATTCTGTGGGACGAAAATGTGTGTTTTTGTGTGTGTTTTTAAATATCAGTGTGTTCAAATAAGGATGATCCTGCAACAGGTCCAGCAAACCGGTAGGGAGTTTATTTGTTCACGGCAAACTGCTCAAGAATTATGGAGGAATTTGAAGAAAAAGCGTACTTCAAACAGCGCTCACATTACACACACGACGAACAAACCAGTTTTCGATAGCAAGCGAACGACAACAACAAAAGCGAGAGGACGGTCGCGGAAAACATGGATTGACAACATTAAAGACACTCTATGCCTTCACGGCATGACAACAGCCAGTGGCAGCCAACGTGCACTGGATCGCAAATTATTCCTCCCCCACGACGCTTAACGGCAGAAGTGGTTTATGATGATGATGAACCAAGAAACAAAAGGAGTTGTCTTTACCCATACAGAACTGCTGGTTACACACTTGCTGGTGTAGCCATTAGGAGTGACCTAACCGTAACCTCTTCGGAGGTTTCAGAGGGGTATCTTCTTTGGTCTGCTGTGCAGACTGAGATTTTTGAATGGTAAATCTTTAGGTAGCACTCTGCTTCACCTCAATGGTTAATAAGATGCTGTAAAAATCACAATGGAAGGAGCCTCAACAACTTCCCACTGTGTTCTTCCACAATCTCAAAATAACAAAATAATAGCCTGTGCCATCCGCAGGAAACAATAACACAGTTCATGAATGACGGCAAGCTCTATATAAATATTCTAGTCTTACCTCCTCGTTATCTGGTTCTTGCTTTATAGTCACAGACAGATCTAAGGCATCACATTCGTTATCTCTTGATTTCTGGAAAAAATGAAAAATAAAACCTGATTAACTCTTTGAGTCCCAAGGAGCGCATCATACATTTATAGGTTCCTGCCCAGTAAACGCAAGATGCACCGATTTTACATCTCTCTTTACTACCCCTTGGACCTGTGATACTAAACCCTCTGGGACTCAAAGAGTTATTTAACAGGAGCAAACAAAAAATGAGAATGAGACAATGAGAATGAG